TAGAAATGATCAGTGTCTCCAGTGTCACAGGGCAGCCTCTGCCCGAGCTCTGCGCATGGCCCCGCGGCTCCGGGGCACGTCTCTAGATGTGTAACCTTGGGTTTACAGGGTCTCTGCTCTCCTTTGTCTCTGCAGGATCAAACCTGGAGATGGTCAGATGAATCCCCGGTCAGCTTCAGAGCTTGGGATAACGGGCAGCCTGATAGTCAGAGAAGAAATGAGCACTGTGCAGTGTTCGAAAACAGTCTAGGTAAGTCGGTGGATCAGCCCCACATGCAACTACAAGGGAAACCTGGCAGCGCTCTGACTACACAGGTCCTGAGATACTGATCTGGGCTGGTCCCAGCGTGCTCTGGAGTGCAGATCCTTGCTCCTCTGTCTTCCCTGCCCCAGGCTGGGAGGGCAGTCAGGAGAGAACCCCTTGTGTGAGCTGGTAAAACTCCTACTTACCAGATCCCCAGTGTCAGTTTACATGTCTGCTCCAGTGACAGGCAGGCGATTTATTATATATATATATATATACACACACACACACACCTGGCCCCAGACGGGGACTCTGCTGAGCTGTTAAAGGTTGATGGCTCTCAGTTGCTGTTGCACCCCTACTCCACTGCAGCAGGGTGTCGATCAGGCTGAACTGTGCAAACACTGATCCACACAATGATGTGGGCACCAGAGCTGCATTTGGCCCCTTGCAGGGTCGTGTTACTCACAAGCATTCGCACACACGCTGGCTGCTTGTGAAAGTGCTGCACAGTCTCGGAACGTTCACAGATTGGGCACTAATGACTGTTCCCATGGAAACTGGCACCGGAAGGGGATCTTTAGCAAAAGCTGCAGCCAGGGAGCAGACCCCGCAGGATGTGGTGTAAGTGACCGGGCGCTCACAGCACCAGTGGGGAGGGGAAGAAGTTCTGAATGGCCCAGACAGCGACTAGCCAGCGTTGGTGGATTTGAGGGGTCGCTTTGCAGAGAGGTTTTGAACAGGAGAGGGGCGAAATTCACAATGAATCCCCCGCCTGACTCTGACCACTGAGTGCTGTGTCTGTGTGGGGCCTGCAGTGCCAGCGGGTGGGGGGAGCGAGGGGCAGGGCCGGGGCTCAGACCAATTCCATTTATCCTGGGATAGGCCTGGGCCTCCCCTGAGCCGGCTGTGTTAGACAGTCACACGCTAGGGTAACAAGCAGCCCATTGAGCACTGGGCTCTGTAGTAATTGTTTAACCTTTGATTTAAACTGCTGTTCGGGCCGCGGAAGGTTGTTCCCTCTGCAACGTGTTAAGGCTGCTAAGGCTGCTGTGTCTGGAGCTCCGATGCAGCTGCGCTAGCAGAGAGTGCACCTGGCCGATCCCGCCAGCCTCCAGCTTATTCCTAAAGACGGAGCACAGGCTCCGTTCGGTGGCAAAGGCGCTCGGCCAGGCTGACTGTCAGCAGGTCCCGGGGCATTAACACAGGTATGCTTGTGACGAGGGAAAGGCTCAGTCAGGGCACCAGGGTCCTGTCCCCTTTGCTGATACACAGATTTCCCTCCCATGACTTCCCCTTGTACACACCGATACAAACAGGTTACGTATTTCACTCCAGATGTTGTTAGGTACCACCCGGATTTTATACCTGCTAGTTCAAACAAACATCCTCATCCATTATCCTGTCATCCCCTCCTTAGCTTTACAAGAGTTGGGGGGTTCTTGTGCCCTCACGTGGGAATTTGTTTGCAGAGTTACTTGGGAACTCCGGGTGTTCTTCTACCATCCTCTCCCGTCAGGAATGTGCTCACTTAGTTTAGCAACGCACCAGGTATTGGTTTTCTGCCAAGGCCAGGCCTACTCTGGCTCACAGCCTTTGATTAACAATGCTAATTATGCCTAGGGCTCCAGCAAGGCCTACAAAATAGTCATAATTTGATACTTTTATAAACTATTAGGGAATTACATCGAAAACATTATGTTAAAGGAACATGAAGGTCCCAAAATCAAGGAAGTGCGAGACTAAGGCTGCCCATGTAACCTTAACGGAGCCCCTGGTACATGTGCGTCATGATACATCATGATAGAGTCTTGAGTTACAGGCTCACTGTCCGTCAGGCCTGATGCCGGCACATGGGCACAGCCAGGGCTGCAGTCACTGGACGGGGATAGAGTCAAACAGCAGCAGAAACCCGCACCCAAGGGAACGGGGCACTGAGACCGGCCTATACCCCCCGCGGAGCTCCCTGCTGGCCCTGAGGGGCTGAGCCCACCCAGCCCAGACCCAGGACTGTCCTTCCCTGGGCGCTGTCTAAGCAGGAATACTACTGCCGGGGCAGCCCCCGGGCACGGGCACAAATACCCCCGGAGCAGAGGGGTAACGGTGTCTGAGGGAGGAACGTGCTGCTCCGTGCACAGCAGGCCGGTAACACTGGCTCTTGGGGCAGGGACACATCCCCTCTGCATGGCGGCTGAGCCCTGCCTGGGACAGATGTTTCCATGGGTGTAGCCAGACCCAGGCGGGCAGGGCCTGGAGGGGGCCTGGCTGTGGGGCAGCTCACTCAGCAGGGAGGGAGGCAGCAGCCCAGGTCCTGAGCGGGTGCCCCCAGTCCCGGGGCAGGGCTCTCGCTCTCTCCTCGGCCCTCTGGCTGGGGTGGGGGGCACGTGGGGTGCGGGAGGTAGGAGCAGTAGCGCATGGGCCAGGCGTCTCCCCTTTCACAGTGAGCCTCGGCCTCTCTTTGCAGGATGGGACTGCCCCAATCTGGGGTGCTCAGGGCTCCATCCCACCCTCCTCTTCCTCAGGGCTGTGCACGGGAGCTGGGATCTTCTCGGAGGGGCA